TCTTTTCTTGGGTCTTTTCAGATAATCTTTTCCCCATTGCTGGGCCTTTCTTCTTTCTGCATCGTTCCCAATGTTTGATTTCAACCGGGGCATCGTTTCTCCCTGCTTTCTTTGGATGTCCTTATGCTTCAGTTGCACCCTGAGATCCTTAATGAGGTTCTTGAGGTAGGCATTGCTCCGGCTCAGTCGGGCCGCTTTACCGCTCAACAAGACGATCCTCTTCTTTGCGGCAACCAAGGCCTCCGTGAGGTCATCTAACCTCCTCTTCAGATCCTTGGCTTCTTCGCTCACGTGATACGTATGGTCCTTGGGAGACTTCTTCCCCTCTTGCTGGATGAGACTCGTTGCACCAGGTGCAACTGCAGTGTCATTCACTGGCACGTTCTGAAGCGTGGCCGCCTGCGATGTCCGTGTCGTTCGTTTCTTCTTGTGCTGAAGATGAGGAAAAAGCCAAAAACCAATAAGAATGAGAAATGCAACCAAATTTCTTTAGAATGGGACTAGTGCTTCATCAGCTAAAAATTATCTGAGTCCCAAATATGAGTCTATGAAAGCAATCATCCTCATCCATATGTGAACATGATCCACATATGAGACTCTATTGGACCCCAAGCATGATATTTTTTCAAGGACTCTATTTGCTTTTGACCTTGGTCATCACAAGTTGTTGAGATCAGGAACTTGTCCCATATGTGGCTGCAAAAGCAATCTTACCATGAAGATAGAATTCTCCTCTTCTTTGAAATTCTTGTCCCACAGTCTAAGATCATTCTTTGGACAATTTCAATAAATGATGGTTGATCACATAAAATGTCCATGATTCAAGAAACAGCAAATTCAGTAATAAAAAAACTCACTTTCTGAAGGTGGGGTGGGAAATTGAATATGGATGGGATGGCATAATCACGGAGGCGAACCGTCTGGCCGGTTCGATCGAAGCAGTGCTCCTCGAAATGCCTTGAGCAGATGAAACTAAATTTGCCTGGCTTGAAGTTGATCCAGCGCATTGCCAAGACCCATTTCTTTTGCCTGATTGGATCCTTAGGAATGCTAAAGGGGATAGGCAAACCTCATCATCAATAAATCTGCTAAAGGCTTCTCATGAAAACTTAGATTTTTTGTGAAATTTCTGATGAATGCATGATTGATGATGTTGGAATGTCTACAAATACCTTAGACTTTGGAACTTAATAGAGCCAATTATGCTTTAATCAAGCAAATTGTACATCCCCAACCCATTAATATACCTATGACAATGTACTGACTTAATAAATCCTTTAACAGCTCATAACTTCTTCAGAAATTTTTATTAAAAAAAAAACATTTGTTTAATTGTGAAAATGTGAGCTGCTTAAGCGATATGTTTCAATGCACATTCACAAAAAAGGTTTTTCAATCCTCATGCAAGAAAGCTTAAAAGCCGTTGATGGAAGTTACAGTACACTTATCAACTCAGATCCTGCTTGTACGCAGTTGACGCTGTTAGAGTTAAAACAAACATATCAGCTACGATTCTGATTCCACTTTATACAGGCCAGAGCTGTAATGTTGAAGTATACTTTCCTAACATGTGGCAAATTCACAGGGATAGACTAATCCTTGGGCTTTGGCTCGTCAGCAATATTGAGGCCACAAAGAAGCCCTAGGCCTTAGGCCAGATTGCCTCGACAGCGAAACTCACTGATGAAATGTGACCGTATGATCTAGGCCATCTTTCGCCGCCCTCCCCTTGCAACCATATGCACAACAGGACGCAGGCATGTGAAACTACGGTAGAATGAGCGTGATGAAATCGAGGCTGACTGAAAACGAATACGCCGCCGCTGACTGGCATCGGAGAGAAGGATGCGGACATTTCCCTCATTCAAGGTGGCCGTTTCTACTTCGCTGCGCTTCTCAGAGCCATCGCAGATGTAAAACTCTTTGTAATGACGAGAACGAATTTGATAGCTAATTGAAATCAGAGTGGGGAGGGTGATTCTACTATGTCAAAGAGTTATTTTAAAGAGAATTTAAGAAGACCTTGTAATTGCGGAACTTGACAAACAACGCCGAGTTTCGGCATCACTGTTTTCAACATGGCGGCGATGTGTTAACAAGGGAGCATAACGCCGGCGGAAGGTGGATTTTCCCATGTAGTGGTGTTTGGCTTTTTCGAAGGGACGCGATGTTTCATGGCTTATTGAAGCGTTTTACAGTATTTTATTCTTAGCGAGGATATTCTTAGCGTAAGATTATAGGGTAGAATGGTAAGTGGTGTGTGCCAGATGCATATTAAAATCTCGTTCAGAAAATACGCTCTCATGGAGTGTATTTTCTGTATCTCCCACGTGGAGTTTCTTCTGCTGACTAGTTCTCATTTCTTTATGCTGCTATATGTATCTCAGTGTTACATGTCAAGTTTGAGAAAATGAGCCGTAGTTCATTGTGCCTTGGTGGAAAACCAAAGATAATTTCTTAATTGTTGGATTGCTTGGGTTGCCCTCAGTTTAGGTCATAGAGATCTTGCATGTCACCATAAGGTAGCCTAATCATTTATTGCAGCTTTTGAGCTTAACACCTGTATGTCAAATCCCTTGTTTTTCTTACATAAAGTTGCCATCATTGATTCCAGCAGCTATTAGCTTAAGAATTTGCATCACCTTTTAAATTATGCATGTTATTTCTATGGTCCATACAAGGAGTCAAGGGTAAATGGTGCTTCAAATTCACTTGTGAACTTTTTTGCTTCACCTCATATTGAAGAAATAAGGCTGGGTGACCATTGTGGGTGCATTCCTATGTGTTGCTATTACTATGCATGATAGGTATAAGAGTCATTTGAAGGGAGGAAAGCACCCATGAGGATTAACTTATTGTTCTGAATTCACCCGCTTCTCCAACCCACATTATGTCTAAAGGGGGAATTGGTTGAGACTCCAAAGAACAACAGGACATATGGAAGTCTAGTGAAGTAATAGGTGTTTCTAGGAAAGGCTCTTCAGATTTTTTTTGGCTGATGTGGCAGGGCTCGATAGCAGCTTAGACTGGCACTATTTCCTAAAAGGAAGAAAATACATTGCTGCAGATTGAACTGTTACTTCTGCTGTGGTGTTTCACACAAGGAAAGTAGGATCTAATCGGTTAACCTTTCAGGTATTTTTTTTTTTCATTTTGAGATTTCAATAGAGTATAGTGTCCTTGGACATATCACTAAAGTACTGTATTGCTATGAATCAATCAGCTTCACTTTCACATTTAGTTGCCAGTCACTACTTTTTTCTCATGATGAAAAGTTTAAGAAAATATATGGTAAATGAAAAGATATAATAACAGAAGGAGCATAATTGCAGCATGGAATCATCATTGATACCTGGAAATAAGACAAAAACCTGAAGAATCAGAGTTAGTTGAAAATAAACCTCAACAGTTATTATTTTGGGGGGTGGGGGTTAGGGATCATGGGTTTAAGTCTAATTACTGATGGGGAAGTTTGTCATCCAAGCGTGCTTGCACACTTCACGGGGAACCCTATATAAGGATTCTGTGTTTTTTTTTTCATCCTTCAACAATAGAGCATCTGAAGAGGTTGCCTCTTCCTATCCATTCTGAATTTTGGCAACATTATGTACACTTGTTTCTTTCTGACAGCTGGTGACCCAGTAGCAAGAGATTTGTGTTATTTACAATTGTGTATGTGATGTGTGACTTTTCCCACAAGACCCCATAAGACAGTACAGGGGAGTGACTTCTTGCTAAAAGGCAGAGAAACAGATACGTGTTTTCATCATGGCATTCAGGACCTATGGAGACAAGCCTGTTAGTTTCCAGTTGGAGGAAAATGGGGAGTTCTACTGCATTGGCTCAGAGGTGAGAGTTTCAGATGGGCAAAAAATATGACTTGAATCAATGAAACAATTTTTAATCTCTCATGACTTGGCAACTATAAATATAGAAAAGGTCACTGCTGAGGTTGCAACTGCTGACTAGGGCACACTAAATCCTTTTTTATTATCAAAGCCCACATCAATGTTTTGAGACTACATTAATGAAGTCTTCAACTTGTGATCCCCATCATGGATGGCAGAAGCTACATTATAATTCATGCTTATGAATCTATAGATATCAATAAAATATGGAACCATGGATGAAGGAATGTGTTGCCCTCATGACAAAAAAAATGCAAGACATGGTTACTAACAAAAGTTGCATTCCTTCTAGCTTCATGGATTAATTGAGTGAATTGTTCTCAAAGATGTGTTATTGAATATTGGCTTTTTTTCTCAGGTGGGTCACTACTTACGACTCTTCCGTGGAGCATTGTACAAAAAGTATCCCGGTATGTGGCGGCGGAATCTCATTCCGGATGAAAGAAAAAAACTAGCTGAACTCGGTGAGAACTAAGAGATTATTGTTGACCAAGCCCTGGGATATGTCATTAGGCCTGAGGGCATTTTCATCTGGATTCCTGATGTTCACTTAGATAAGTTTCTTCTCCCTTTGCAGTTCCTGTCTACCCAGGTTTGAGTCAGCATCTCCTTGCATCCAATATCTCTCTCTTACGAGCAAGTGAGGTAGAGGACATCATCGAAGGGAACGATGACAAGTACAAAGCCGTCTCTGTTCATGCCGAGCTGCCGTCGGTACCCAGGTATGAATTAAAGCAGTGTGCTAAACGTGTCTGCTAAGGTCAGAAACATCTTGTGTTCATTTGTGTATCTGAGATTCAAGGAAATGTGTGTTTTACTAAGCCCTTTAAGAAATGTTAAAATATAGGTAAATGCAAGTGTCTCTCGTTATACGCGTTTTTGCCTGTCTGCAGTTTCATTTTGTTGCATTGAGACTATCCCTAACCATGGGTGCTGTGGAAGTTGTATGTATTTTCGATATACGAGGCGATTCTCAGGAACGCAACCCCAGCGTATAATGAGAGTCACCTGTACTCTCATGGTATGCTCCCAATTCTATCTTCAACTTCTTCACATTAAAGATTTTTTGGACTTTTTACTTACAGGCTACCCCCTCTAGATGCATCTGTCATAGTTGTATCACCATTCTTACACTGTACAGGGCTGCCATTTAATTTGATTGAAATTAAGATCATGGATGTTACTGATGAAGAATTTCTACTGACACCTGATTCATCAAGAGGGGTCCAATATAACCAATACCTATAAGCAGATAATCACAGTGAATGTCACACAGAGGCTTATGTTATTATCCCATGGGACTGGAAGGCATATTGATTATACATATTGTAGGCAACCTGCATAGCTTTCACTTTTCTAAAAGCTATGCAGGTTAGCTTGCAATATGAAAGGAAAATGGAATAAGGTTTTCCACAAAGAAATGGAGGAAGCATGTGGAGAGACGATCTGGCTGAAACTTGGCATAGCATTATCTGTTGTACATGAGCCAGAATCCTCAGAATCCTGATATCCCAGTCAGGGAAAGGGTTAAGCTTGAAGTCCCTTGTAGGGTAGTTCAAGGGTCATTGGGGCAAAAGTGGCATCAAGTATATAATGAAAATTTTCCTCTAACTTAATTATTTGGAATTTTATGGGATTAAACTTAGACTACGCCAGGGATCCACTAAACATGCAACACCTATCATGGGATGGTTTATCATTTCGCCAGCACCACTCCATTTTGATGTGTTTAACCTATGTTAAACCGAGGTAAGCCAGCTTGGTGAACCTCGCTTTTGACAAATTCGTTACAACAGTAATGCTGAAAGACACACCTAGCTACTTCTTTGTTTTTTTTTTTTATCAACAAAAGCCATTCGTTACAATGGGAATTTATGGGCTATGCTTTCTTCATTGAGAGTATGGAAGCTCTAGGTCAAGCCAAATCAGACAGAATTGAAAGGGAAGTAGCAGAACGAAATCTGTTGTCTAAACTGTATTATGCCAGTAAACATGCCGTTATTGTTCTTAATCCATGAGCGAAACGAAAAGTTTAGGCTGGCATGGTTTATTTATATACTGTCATAATTATTATTCATTTTGGATCTGGTGTTACATCGGTTACTTCGCAGTTGCCCTTTACCTCACTTAAATGAGGTTTCAGCATTCAGGCCTACAACGAAACGCAATGGGCAACCAAAGCGCACACGCGCGAGCACCAAAATGATACTGATACGAGACTGCGGATCGTCCGCTGAAAGGAGAGGTTCGGCTGGGAGCGAAGGGAGTCCGTATTAATTGACTCGAAAGGGTTGAGGGAAAGGTGAGCAGGGCATGGAAGCGGCGGTGGGAAGTAGGTAAAGATGCACGTGAGTCCTGGGCGGGGCCATCCCGAGGAGACCGAGATAGAGGATTGCAGGGTGGTTGTTTGCTCGCGCAAACTAATTCGAGACGGATTATCGTGAAATTTCCCGCGGGGACGATTGCGCATGCACAGACCCAGTGCTGGACTCGTCCGTTCTCGGCTCGGCGATCGCTCGTATCCATCGAGGTGTGTTCTCTATTGTAGTTTTCCGTCATTTAATTTTTTTTTATATTCCTCCTTCCACGTTCTGCTTGCCATCGGACCAATTGATCTTTGTCGGAGAATTCACAGCACGTTCGAAAACAGTAGGCTTTTGCTCTTGGTTCCTTGGCTTTTTCTTTCAGCGCATTCCATGTGCCCTACCCTGTCGGTTCAAGCACTAATTAAAACCGACATTTAGATGGGATATCGGTTTATTTGTGGCTAGCGCATCGGGTTTCCAATGAAATCAATACGGACAATTGTCGGCAATATCCCAAGTTGAGGTCCATTTTTTTTTAGCTCTTGTGTTCCTATTTAACAAAGTAACTCATAATTGTAGGTTTTTAAATATAGTTTTCTTCTGCTTTTGGCACCCTCAAGGCAGATGCAATAGGCAGACCACATGAGATAATGTGCTTGTCCTGCTCATGCTCTCTTCCTGCATTATTTTGCATTCCAATCCTATAATATTCACTAACTTTTCCCTGTCTTTCCCAAGTTCAATTCATCTGGTTTTTTTTAAATATAAATTAAAATCCTGTTCACCTTGAAATATTGATAAATTTAACAGTTTTGCTGTAGTTGTGAATAGCAATTTCATTGCAGTTGAACATCATTCTTAGAATACTCTATTCATTCTTCATTGTTGAGCGTGAAAACCTTCACATCAGATGCTTCAAGTCATTCATTTTTCCCATCCCTCCTGTTCAGTCTTTGTGAACCCATGAGGTGCATTTTGGTATGCAACAAAAGTTCAAAACCTTATAAAAAGTGAATTCCTTGCTTGTCATTGAAGTAAGTTCACAAAGAATTCATGATGTCAAGAAAGCTTATTATCAAGAAGTAGGGACATTTAGCTCAGTAAAAGGATATGACATAATTTTTTGTGCAGTCCCCCTGTGGTTTTTGCAGTTAACCTAAGTATTTATCAGTCCTGGCTGCTTGAAATGCTTGGAATTTCATGCAGACCGATTGGAATGTGAATTTTTTTCTAGATCAGGTTTTGATATAGATTTCTTATGCTTTGCATTTATCTAAGTAGGCTTTTCAATCCGGTCTTCACGAAGAACTTGATTCTTACAGGGACATGAAGGTGCGAAAGTCGAACTGGATGCCTCCGCTGCCGTCTTCGTCACAGCATCTCGATGCTGTTCCTCAGGCCACATCAGTCAACCGGAACCGGGTGGCAAACAAGAAAGTTCGCACCTTCCCACTTTGGTAGGTCCTCCGAGTTTCTTGACGGTCACCGTGCAGTGATGTGCTCTTTACCTTCAAATGTGTTCTAGTTGTTTTCTTTTTCACAGAGATAGATTTAGTTTAATTGAGACCCTACTAGGTATTTGGTGGTAAAATCCAATTGGCCTTTAGTCCGTTGGTAAGATTTGTAGGCCAGCCAGGTAATAGCTAGATGCACTTGAAATGTGGTCTTGAATTTATATATGGGCCTTGTGGTTTTATTATTTGTGAAATAAACTTTCTTCTGTTCCAGGCAAAAGTTAACCACTCAAAGAAATGAGACCATTACTTTTGCTTGATTATATTTGCTTTCTGTGGAATGAGTGGTTTTTATCTTTACTTGTAATTTGTAGAAGCTGCCAATATTTGTTCTAGCAATGAATGAAAATGCTTTAGTCCATTTAAAATTTGATCTGAATGATTTCTCTTCTTCAGCATAGATCAGGGGTTGGGAACCTATGGCTCATGAGCCAAATTTGGCTCACAAGCTGAAAAGTTTGGCTCATTGAGTCATGGTTGAAAATAATGGTTGTTCCTCGTGTATCAAAGAATGCACACCTGTTTGTCAACTTCAGGAAAAATTATGTTTTTCTGAAAATCTTTTGCTCACAAGCACTTAGCTCAAGCTTAATATGGCTCACTCTGCCAAAAAGGTTCCCGACCCCTGGCATAGATAAAATAGGAAATTTCTAATATAATACCAGATTAAATAGCAAACAATAATGAGTTGGTTACATTGCAGCTTTGATGACCTCGACCCGGCATCGGCTCATGAAAACGCCAATGCTTCTGAGGTCCTGGTCCCCATTCGCCTCGACATGGAGATCGACGGTCAGAAGCTCCGAGACACATTCACCTGGAATCGGAATGAGAGCGTCATCACCCCCGAGCAGTTCGCCGAGGTCCTCTGCGACGACCTCGACCTGAACCCATTGACCTTCGTCCCTGCCATCGCCCAGAGCATTCGGCAGCAGGTGGACACATTCCCTACAGATAATATCCTGGAAGAGCAGACTGATCAACGAGTCATCATCAAGGTTGGTTGCTTAATTTTTTCCCTTGCCAGTATTTTCTTATTTGATAGCTGTTGATGTTTTCTCATCTGAGTCACTTCAATATTGACCTTTTTATTTCTATGCCACTCAGGACATTGAGGCTTTTCAGTATGAATTTCTTGGACTTGATGTGGTATTTGTGCAGTTGAGTATGAAGATTCATTTAAAAATCGGAAGTGTCTTCCCTAACAATTTGCATTCAGCTGACTATAGGGAAGTGATCAATCCATTTAGCTGTTTTCACAACAATGGGATGTAAAAATAAAAAATTCAGTTGGATGAATGTGTTTCTGGTCATTTTGATTTCTAATTCATCATCTACCTCTGCTGATGGCAATAGTGGAAGACACCTATCATCTCATGATGATATAATAGCAAGAAAAAGAATTTGTTTGAGGGGCAAAAAAGTGAAAAGTGAGGTGGTGAATTGACCATCAGCATTTGAATCAACTGGAATCCTTTTTGCTTCCTGCTCTGGTTAATCATTGCAAATTAACTTGTTTGAAGTTGCTAAAATTGCATTCTTATCTTTCAATTCCAGTTGAATGTTCATGTTGGGAACATATCACTGGTGGATCAATTTGAGTGGGACATGTCTGAGAAGAACAACAGCCCAGAGGAGTTTGCCAACAGTCTGTGTGCCGAGCTGGGTCTCGGAGGGGAGTTCACGACCGCCATCGCATACAGCATCCGGGGACAGCTGTCGTGGCACCAACGCACCTATGCCTTTAGGTTTGTCCTTGTATTAGCCCTATGATTACCTGGAATTGCTTGTTGTGCATCACTTGTGAATTGGTATGATCTGGTGAAAGTCATTCATGGTGGAAGTAGAATGTTAAGTCCTAATATTTCCCAAGAGTTGGAAAATTCCTATTATTATCTATTATGTCAGAGTTAGCTGTATTGCATTTGATGTCCCCCCCCCCTCCATGCAAATGTACCTGTACTTTTGATACTCTTGCTATGAAATTATCATTTGTATCAAATTATCATGACACTTCTTGTCACTTTGTGTCAACCTTCCCCTTTTACCTTTTGCAGCGACAACCAACTGGGAATGGTCGAATCGCCATTCCGCCCGCAGGGAGATGCAGAGGCATGGAGTCCATTCCTGGAGACCCTCACGGACGCAGAAATGGAGAAGAAGATCCGTGACCAAGACCGAAACACCAGGTGAGAGTTCTAATAGAGTTTATTTGCTTTCATTAATTTGCATCTTGTTTGCTGGATTTATTGGAGAAAATAGAAATGTTCAATATTTTATTGCATTAACATCAGTCTTCCTTATCATTCTGATTGGTTCAGAATGAACTGGGTGTTTTCTCAGTGCAGTTATTTCATTGGTTTCTCCCACTTATTCCTTGCCATTATGGATTATAGAGGTTCTGTGGCATTTGTGTGAACTCTGACACCAATCGATGCCTTTGTTTCTTGCAGACGCATGAGGAGATTGGCAAACACGACCCCCGGATGGTGAGGCATCGTCGGTTCCTGGATCCTCTTCGAACGAAACCCCCACTGGATCTCTCGTAATGCTGTTTTGTCTTCTGTGGACTTTCTAAGATGTTATGCAGGAAGGGAGGATGGATTTCTGAATAAATATTTCTCTTTAACTGCCCCTAGACCTGGTGAATGGTACTTTCAACCTCATTTACTCTTTTGTTGTATCTTCAATTACATTTTGTGAATCTGTGGACCCATTCAAAGTTTGGTAGAAACAAAGTCTGGTTCAAGCCAAAGGCACCCCTAATATATACCAGGCTGTTCTGCAGTGGTTGTATAAGTGCAGAGTAATAGTGCAGATAATAAGAAAGCTTGTAACCAGTATTGACTACCAGATAAGTCAAGCAACCGGTCTACCAAACCGATTTCGTTAACACCATCTTTGGCATCCCTGGCTTCATATGAGACTGCAATTGGGCACCCATGTTCATTCGTTCAAAAACCCTGAAAAGCTTTGTATCAGAAATTGAGAACAAGGCAGTTCCCCCATCCTTCGCAAAAAAATTTTAAGTTTGTGACATCAAATATTGAATTTAAACGTGGATATGCCGATGTCAAGCAATGAACAGGATGCGTAACTGTGATACATTATTTTAAAAATGTATTCAATAAGTTTTCAAATGATTTACTAAATATATGTTGCTTCAATAATTTCAAGATAACTCGACAGCTGGGTCGACAGTCTTCCACAAGGCAAAGCACTGAAGAATGAAAGCGAGTGCGGATAACATCGAATCCTGGGTAAAACTCCGTTCCTCAAGGTGTTTATGTTTCTGTTGTTCGGAGTGGGCTCAGCCTGTATTCGTAAGGATAACGGCGGTCATCATAAGGGATAAGATAATGCAGCCCACGACGCAATCGGTTTCCCTTATCGCGGTCGCGTGTTTGTTTGAGCAGACACTCGTCCCCGCGACCCCCGAGTTCGCTCAAGTGCGTCGCCGAGGGCTGTTTCCTGTGACGGCGACTCGCGGAAGCGGCGGAAGCCCGGAGGACAGCGGCCGCCGCGAGAGCTGGAGGTCGACTGCGGGGGACGGGCGTCGGCGGGAGGGTCACTCGCTCCGGTGGCGTGCTCTCTGAGATCGTTCGGGAAGTGTTGACATCTGTGACGTCAGTGATGGGGTTGCCACCCGGTTCATGATTAGTATGGACAGTACATATTTCAGATGCGATGTCCATACTGCGAACATAATTTTGAAATATATAATTATGAATATATTTCATAATAATGAAATGCATAATTGAAAATTTTTTGACTTAATGAAGCCTAAGCTAATATCGTAGCATATTCCGTAGCTCAAAAGCAATAGGCCACACACGTAGTGTCGATAGGCGCCTTGGCTTATGGTGGTTGTGGGTGTATTTCGAATATTTTGTTAAATTCGAAGGTGGCTACCCCAGCGGTGAGTCACGTTCGCTATATTGCATCTCGAAAACTGAAGACCGGAATGCTAAAATGTACAGCGGACGGTTTTTCCTGACGATGGTATTCAATCAAAGCCAGAATGAAAAGCGGTGCGTGCGACTCAAACATTTGCTCGTCTGAAACATGATCAAATATGCCTTGTCCGATCTAGTGGGGGGGGGGGGGGGGTTTGAGGCCAGATAGACACCCCAAACCTACGCCTAGCTCCCGGAATTTACCTTTTTAAAAAAAATCATGGTCTTGCATCTTAGGTTTGTGGACAGGCATCAGACTTCCCTCAGAATTGCTAAAATTGAAATTCCCAAGGAAGGTTGAAATGTGCCTGTCAGTGTCACTGACTGGAAAGCCCCCCCCCTACGACACAGGTCCGATCCGGCGAAACAAAACCAGACCGTCGAAACACCGGCGTGTCCGCTCGACAGCTCGGCGTCCAAAGCGGTCCCTTGCACCTGCGTCACCTCCGCCATCGCGGGAGAACACGGAAGTTCTTACCTCATTCACGAGGTGACAGCAGGCGTAACCAGCTGCAAAAGCCAGCTGCCCTACAGCTGCTCTCGCACCATAATGGCTGCTCGACTCGGTGTGTGGTGCGACAGAGACGGTGCGTGACGTGCGGAAGAGGCTTGTCAGTAAACAAACGGATGGTGTTCCTCGCAGATGCAGGCTTAGCGGTGGGTCCAGGCCCTGGAATAACTCTAATCAGTGCACTGTGCAGAGCCGCGTCAAGTGAACTTATGGTAGCGTGGTTTCCGCCGAGGCGTCTAGGAACAGTCGGCGATTGCGTTGTTAGCCTATATTGTTATGTTTACAGGGTCTAATAGAAACTGCTGTTTTACGCAGTTACCGTTGTTTTAAATGCGTTTCCATCCCCATGACGCTGAGTGCATTGTTTTATTGGATGGCTTAGTTGCCGGCCATAGGCGGCTGTTAGACCCCGAAATTAAAGCACCAGATCTAGGATTAGTTACAAGAGTACCAGATTTGAAGACATTTTTCAGCCTAAAAATGTAGGAAGGGGCTCTTTCCATCCGTTTTGTGCATGGGAAGCCTTTAAACTCGCATTAAAGCCTGGTTACTACACTTTCAAAAGGAGATGAAGTGATCCGTGACATTGCTTGCATTTTTAATTCTTTTTCTATCTTCAAAGAGGCATCTGCTGTGAGCCTTGATAACTTGAGCAACTTGCAGAGTCACTCTAATTGAGGAAACATTTGTTGATGCAATGTGGCATAGCTTTCCTAGGCCTTTTTTTTCTCGAAATTTTTCTAATAAATTATTACATAATAAACAAATTAAAATGCATGAGAAGCCTTAAACACTGGCACAAATGATTTGAGTTGGACTCTAGGCCTATATTAGTATAATAAGGGGAGGGGGACTGAGAAAGTTAGACATGGGAAAGTTAAGGAGTAAGGAGAATTTTCGGTGTTAACACATAAAGGGTTTAATTATGGCTTGAGACAGAATATCCAAGTTCAGCCTGGGTTGGATATGTTGCTGGAAAATGCACCTGCTGTTTGTACCAGTAAATACTTAAAGTTTTTTTTAATGATATTATTTTAATATTTTCAAATTTTCCTTAATAGATTTGGAAATTTTTTAAAATGAGGAATTGAAATATCTTGCTACTAAAGTTCAATTTGATCTTAACTGCTGTTGCTTGCAATGTGTAAATGCTGAGTACTAAAATATTGTTCTTGGGTCATGCATATTGTGAGTAGTCAAAATAATACTAA